TCCTCCAGGCGGCGAGGGCAACAAACGGCTTACCAGCACCATATGATGGAATAGCATTGTACGCTGACCTATCGGCCTTAACGATGGCCCGACGCAGAGACTTCTCTACAATTACGAAAACGCTGCGCAATCACAAGTTGAATTACAGGTAGGGATTCCCTACGAAGTTATTGGTATGGCGCGATGGCAAACTGAACGTGATAGCTGACCCGGATCACGGCCTCACCATCCTGAAGGACTGGGGCCCCTGGGACCCCCAAGGCACAGCCAAACCTCCAGGGACCTCCCCTCAGCGTATCCGACCAGAATGGAAAATGGTGGGACACCAGGACGCCAAGCCTACGCAAGGCACCAGCTCATAAAGATTACCTTTAAGAGACTCACGCCACTATGTTGAATCCCGCATCTTTCGTTTACTGACTTTACAAGACCACGAATGACTGGCGTTCTGCAGGACTGGTATCGTTTAACCAACAAACTGTATTATACATGTTCTGTACAAGTTGAGTTCCCATTCACTCTTTTATTTAGGCACATTACCTTACTCCGGTGCACTACTGTGCTGAAGGAGGCAGGGTCACTTGGAGGCTGGACCCCAGTCCCCTCCGCTCCCCACCTCCCTACAAGGACCAGAAAATGTGTGCACCCATTCCCACCACATGATCGCCACGCGAGCGGGCAATAATACACACACCCCTTGCAAGCCAGACCGAAAATTCGCTACCCTCTAGAGGTAGCTTGTCGGCCCAAAAATGCGTGGGGAACATGTTGGGGGAACAGAGTCCAGAGGGTAAAAAACCGGGACTGCCGAATTTTGCCTAACTATAGGGGCCCGGCACTAACCCCCCACATGTCAAGCAGGCAACACTAGGTCACTCTATGCAACATTCCTCGCTGACATGAAGAGGTTGTAATATAGACCACTACCCCCAAGTTAAGGCCTACCCATATCCCCACTCCCTCACTGATGTATGGAGACGTTACCCGAAAAAAAAACAAAAAAAACTGCAACTCCCCCCACCACTGTGTCCCCACGCTTGTATGTGCGGAAACGCTACTGGTTTCACATTACTAAGACTCGGGAGCGAGTCAGCTCCACACGATCCCCCCAACTAGGATGTCTTCTGGGAGTGCGCTGGATAGCCGCCCAGTACATCCACGAGTTTACTCTCAATTGAGAGTACCTTGTATATACTTTATTTACACTGTTTATGATTATGTTCATGCCTTATGTTTTTCCTCACCCTCCACCCCCCCAAGTTTCTACTCATCTCATGATCAAGGTAACTTGCCACCGAATAGATTCCAGGTACACGATGATAGGGGTCGCCACACTGATCCCACCCACGTTGGATATACTATTGGAGCAGATGTAATAACAGCTCTTACTCTAAGATTACGCGGCCACATTCAGATCTCCTACCCCCGAAAGAATGTCACACCAATTTAAGTGTCTCTCCCTAAACGTTAATGGCCTGAACAGCCCATTCAAGAGACATTCGGCTATTAGAGAGATACACAAGTCTAAAGCAGCAATAGTCTGCTTACAGGAAACTCACCTATGCACACACCATCCTCCGTCTTTTAAACCAACTTGCTACCCCCAAATTTTCCATGCGCTCTCACCACACAAATCCAAAGGCGTCTCTATATTGTTTCACCAAGACTGGGTTTTTCAACAGACAGGGATATATCAGGACAAACTGGGAAGGTTATTGATACTGGTGGGCACGCTAAATGGCATCACAGTCACAGTGGCCTCGTTGTATGCCCCAAACGAAGCCCAGGCCTCCTTCTTAAAATCCGCACTTGCCAAAGTGGCAACTCTTAGACAAGGGCACACTGTTATCTGTGGGGACTTCAATTACACACTGGATACCAACATGGACATACAGAGGGCCCAAGGAAAAAGACCCCTACACCAAGCCACATCACTGAGCCGTAAACTTGCCACACTCCTCCACACACACAACCTCTACGATGCATGGCGTAGCCTATATCCCAGCGGGAGGGACTATACCTATTTCTCACCAGTGCATCATACGTACTCGCGCATCGATTTATGCTTGGTAGACGCTATAACACTACAAAATGTAGCGGATGTAGAGATTGGGAACAGGACATGGTCAGACCATGCCCCGGTCACCACCACCTTCAAAACTCTATACCCTGCGAGAGGTAGGAGATTGTGGAGACTAAACGACTCCCTACTAAACGAGGCTGACCTACTTATAAAACTAGCTAATACGATTACACCAAGACCATGCAAATGACGAGACCTCTATCCCTACACAATGGCTAGCCCTCAAAGCGGTGCTTAGAGGCCTTTTTATACAAGCAGGAGCAAACCGTAAAAGGAAGGGCAATCAGAGCAAACAACGCCTACTAGAGGAACTTGCAAGGACTGAGGCTAAAAACAAACTAAACCCATCCAACAAACTAATTAAACAAATTAACAAAATAAATTCGGAACTACACGCATTGGCCCTACACGCTATGGAAAGGCAAATGCGCAAACTCAACTTATTCCATTACATGCAGGGTAATAAAGCGGGCAAATCACTGGCACGTCGCCTGAAAACACGTCACCTGCAGTCTAAACTACCATACATGATCTCCGCAACCAAACATAAGCTATACAACCCCCAAGATATCGTAGAGGAACTAGCCTCTTACTACGACACACTATATAATCTACACAGAACAAACGATACGCATCAACCATCCAAGGACGAAATCCTAGACTTTCTAAGCAGTGTAGACCTACCCCTCCTCACAGATGCTCAAAAAACATACCTTCAAACACCATTCACAGAGGAGGAAGTGCACAAGACAATTAGCCTATTGCCCAAACGTAAGGCTCCGGGCCCAGACGGCTTCCCGAACTCCCTTTACACGTCGCTAAACACACAATTAACACCGCACCTTACCAAGATGTTTAACCACATCAAAGATACGGGGAATATCCCGTCCGAAATGCTCCTTGCACATGTAATAACACTCCCAAAACCGGGGAAGCCTCCAACAGAATGCGCTAATCTGAGACCAATCTCTTTATTAAATGCTGACACCAAATTGTACGCAAAGCTCTTAGCCACCCGCATAAAGCCGTTACTTCTAGACATGATCTCACAGGAACAAGCTGGGTTTGTCCCTACAAGACAACCAGGAGACAACACACGCCATTTCCTAAACCTAATTCAATGGGCACAAAAAACCCAACAACATGGCATACTACTAGCACTCGATGCTGAAAAGGCCTTTGATCGCCTAAATTGGTCTTATATGACAGCAGTGTTGACCAAAATGGGGTTTCCCCCCTCGTTCCAAAAGAGCGTACTGGCCCTATACTCTAACCCCTCGGCTAAGGTATATAACACCGGCTTTCTCTCCAAGCCCTTCCAAATAACCAATGGAACCAGGCAAGGCTGCCCTCTCTCTCCGCTGATATTCATCCTCTGCCTGGAGCCACTGGTTAAACATATCAAATCACTAGACACGGTTCAGGGACTACACACACCGATAGGAACTATGAAAATTGCTCTATTTGCGGATGACATCCTGCTATTCATCACTGATCCTTCCAATTCCCTCCCAAATCTCTTGGCACTTTTGGATAGATATGGCAAGGTGTCATACTATAGGAATAATGCGAAAAAATCGCAAGCATTAACAATCCGTATGCCACACCACACACTACAAACCCTCAAATCTGAATATCCATTCGATTGGCGTAAAACTTCGATCTCGTACCTAGGTATTCAATTACCGGCCACATCCACATTAGTTACTAAAGTGAATCATATCCCGCTTCTGCAGAAACTGGATCTCCAACTCAAACAATGGGACGATAAAGGAATCTCATGGCTGGGGCGCATTAATTCTGTTAAGATGATGATCATGCCACACATCTTATACCTCTTCCGTACACTGCCGATAGCGATCCCAAACGCGATAGTGAAAAGATTCCAATCGATCATAAACGCACATATCTGGAAGAGAAAACCTCCCCGAGTCTCACATAAATTGATCTGGAGACCCCTCTCGGAAGGAGGCCTTGGTGTGCCCAACGTTCAGCTATATTACAAAGCATCAATACTGGCACAGGGCCTCACGGTCCTGGAAGGTATGGCATCCCCCGTCTGGCTGGCACTGGAAAATGCCTGCATGTCAAAAGGAACGGTAGAGGATGCCCTTTGGGCATGCTCGGACCGGCAGCTACAGGACACTAATATCCTACCCCCGACGAAACTACTGCTCCGTATATGGAGACAGTCGATCCTAAAACTGGAAATAGGTAGAGACCTCCTACATGCCGTGCCTTTACAATCACTAACACTCCACACACATGATCTGTCGCTTGATACTTGGGTACGACAGGGTATTCTCCATGTGAGCTCCTTGATCGATGATGCGGGAGTGACACCCTTCCCAATACTACAACAGACGTTCAGCCTCCCGTCTAGGGAACTATTCACATAACTACGCATTAAAAACATCCTACATGATCACAAACTACATAGAGGCAGAAAATTCCCACCACCACGATTTCTCCTTAAGTGCCAAGGAAAACTGAAGGACATAAAAGCATTGTCTTTTTGTTACACATCACTCATGAACCTAGCAGACAAGGAAATCCCCTCATATATGAGCTCATGGGAGAAGGATCTCCATACACAAATTAGCCAAGATACGTGGCGGAAAGCTCTGGGCAGGTTGAAAAAAAACACATATAGCCTGGCTCACAGAGAGGCATTTTGTAAAATACTAATGAGATGGTATATGGTACCTTCACGCCTAGGGCATATTTACCCTACTGCGTCCCCCTTGTGCTGGAGATGCCGTAACAACGAAGGCACACTACTTCATATATTTTGGACATGCCCGAAAATAGGTGAATTCTGGGAAGCAGTAGAACAGTTCTTCTTAGAAGAGATGAAAATAACAATGCCGAAATCCCCAGAATGCTACCTACTTCACATTTTCCCCCATTCACCCAGGGAGGACGAATTACACATACTCACTCATTGTCTACTTGCGGCCAAAATAGCAATAGCATACAGATGGAAACAACAGCAAAGCCCAAAATTAACAGAAGTCCTAACACGCCTCGACACAACATGCAACTTCGAACGAATGGCCAGCCGCCTTCGAAGCAAAGAACATATCTTTGCCAGGCACTGGCAACGCTGGGCCCAGTTTAGAGACCAACCAGAAAGCTAGAGACTAACCCTAATACCCCCTTAGGACCTCGGTAGACCTACACCATACCGCAGCTCCCCATGTTCTCCTACACAACCTCACTCAACCGTCTATCCATAAGGGCAGGAGTCAACTCTAAAAAACAGACCAGATGAAGAGGCAGCTAGTACCCTAGGTACAAAGATGGTAAATAGAAAATACCCCATGGTAGACATTAGACTGGGAATCTATCACACTATGCTGACGAACCGTACTAGCTAAGTCTCGGGTATTTTATTTTGTTTGTTTTGTTTGACTTTGGTTCTTTAGTCCAGCAGATACACCCCCACCTAACAGATTGACACAGGTAGCACAGGTTGATATGGAATAAAACTTTCCAAATCCTAATCCACCACGATTTAGGCCCCATCGAAGGGTTCCCATAACTATCATACACTGCCCATCTCCTACGCTAATATACGCTAATATACATGCAATATTTGTACCTTGTATCTCATATGTGCATTTTGTACCTCGAATTCTGTACTTTGATTCTGTACGTTGATTCTGTACTTTGACTTTGAAACGCAATCTTTGACCTGCGCTGTCAAGTAACCTGTATGGATCTATATACTACCCGCTTCCCCTCCCCTTTTTGTTTTCTGTAACCCCCCATCCCCCTTGTGTTTTTTCTGATCTGATGATTATGAAAAGAAAACGAAAAAACAACTCAATAAAAACTTAAGACATTGAAAAAAAAAAAGTATTTCAGAAGAATATTTAATTCATTCAGATCTTGGATGTGCTATTTTTGTGTTCCCTTTATTTTTTTGAGCAGTGCATAAACTCTATGGTGACAGCTCTATATTACCAAGAAATATACTATCAAAACACCTACTATATAAGTGATCATAGTGCTCTACTATAAACACATCGGGTTTTAGTCACATGACTCAGACTTGAGCATTAGTTTTCGGCAGAATTGCTATTCATCCAAATTTTAGGCGATCAGTGATTTGGCTGAATTCCTCAACTTCAAATGCTGTATGGATGTACCATAAAACACAAAAACAGGCAATTGACGAACCATTTAGTTTATTTTATGATTCATATTTCTGTTGGTGGCACCAGAAAAAGAGAGAGGGAATGGTGAAGAAGCCGAAGAGATGTAAAAAAGTTGATTGGTGGTTAGGACACAGCCACTAAATGTTGATTTTATTCACTGATTTAAGTGAGAATTCACCAATAGAGGAAAAATGGTAGGATATTTCCGAGCAGGATTCTTCCAGATATTTTTACTTTGGCTTTTAAGGGAGACACACCAGCAGTGATTGTGTGTTTTTTTTTTACCATTTCTGAACCTGTGTGGTAGTGATAGAGTGATAGCTTGTCGTTGATCCTAATGTGAGACTGGTAAGGTGGTTAGGTGGATGCTGTGCCTAGCCACTGTCATTGTGCCACTTACAGTGCCAGCTCTTATTTACTGCTTTAGAATTATTTGACTGATTTCTGATTTTTTAAATTTAGTTTTTGAGAGACTGATTCAGGGTGCTTTAGTGACTCTGCATTTGCTTTGCAAAATCGCAACGCCTTGTGTGGCAGGTTACTGTACAGGTGAAAGCTGTACTGTAGGATGCAGATTTTTTTTAAAGCTTTGTATAAAGCAAATTCCTTTTTGAGTGTATAGTCCAGTGTGTTGCAGTAGCAATATTAGTGTTACTGGCACGCTACAGCATCATTGGACAGAAACTTTTTTTTTCTTTAAAAGGGACACTGTAGGCACCAAGACCACTTCAGCCCATGGAAGTGGTCTGAATGCCAACTCCTATCACCTTTAACTCTGCAAGTGTAATTATTGCAGTTTTTATAAACTGCAATAATTACCTTGCAGGGTTAAGTCCTCCTCTAGTGGCTGTCTACCAGACAGCCGCTAGATGGACTTCCGGGTTCTTAGACGACTTTTGGTCATCTAAATGACGCTGGACGTCCTCACGTTATGTATGAGGACCTCCAGCATCACCGCAATCCCCATAGGAGAGCATTGGATAATGCTTTCCTATGGGGTGGTCTAATGCACGCGCGCCCATGGCCGCGCATGTGCTTTAGGTCTCCCCCGCCAGCAGACGGTGGCGGAAGAGGAGCATGGGCGGAGCCTAACCCAGCACCGAGGGACATCAGTGCTGGATTCAGGTAAGTGACTGAAGGGGTTTTAACCCCTTCAGCGACGTGAGATGGGGGGCGGAAGGGAGAGGGGCACTAAAGGATTCTACAGTGCCAGGAAAACGGGTTTGTTTCCCTGGCACTAGAGAATCCCTTTAACTGTGTGTGAGCACTGTGTAGGTCGCTGTGTGAAGTGCAGTGTTTAATCTTCCAGTAAAACACAATACCCTTACAGTAGGAGTAAATCCACCAAGCAGCAGCCTATTTTTCAATAGCTTAATACAGTTGTGTTAGTTTACACAAAACACATTCATATCCGCATTTATATTAATAATAAAATAACAAACAAAAACAAATCTTCAATGTCATGTCCTAAATAAAGGAAAAAAATTGAGGGAGGATTTGGGGTCTTGTTCCCCAAACCACCATCAGCAGTAGTGCCATAGCCATTAAGCACCTTAACACCTGATGTTATGAGGACTGCTTACACCTACGCCGCCACTACCAGAAGTACCACAAGAATATATAATTGTGTTCAGCCCCAGGATGCTGCGATGTGTGACTCGAAATCTAAGCTAGCAGAAGGATCTGTATTTTCAGCAACAGAGTCAGCTAGGCCTAAAAGTATTGGCAGCGAGTTTGTAAAGCATGCAAAAAACTGACTAAAAACCTTGGAGTAGTATGACTCACTAGGAGTAATACTAATCCAGTTTTTTGTTTTTTTTAAATGCAGGAAATGAAAGGAGAATAGAGCAACTTGGTAGGGAGTCAGAGTATACAGAAGCACCTGTCATGGGTATATAAGGAGGCTGTTTTCTGGCTCCCCTTGCAAGCAGAAGCCCACCAGCACTACTGTAACTTCCACTGGCATTGCGGCTCCTTCCACCACAGCTAGATGAAGCATTATACCTTCTGTATGGTATCGGTGAAACCAATGGACTTGTTGCCATTATTAATGGTATCCTCTAATCTTTCTAGAATCCCACAAGAAGCAGCTAAATTTGAGGTCAAATGTCAAACACAACAAGGTGCTTGAACCTTACATAAACTGCTGGAGTGAAGGTTCCCTATTAGCTGCATTCACAAAACTTACTAAAAATAAATAAGAATGAAAAACAGTGATGGGTTTAAATATGGGAAATGTGCCATTTTGTGCAATATGAATTTTGCTTATAAAATCCCCCTGTTAGTGCAACACAGCTTTCCCTAACAAAAATAACTATATATTAAAATCAAATTATCAATTTGTTGTTTTTTTTACAAATAATAATAATATTAATAAAAATTATACATTTGCCAATACATTTTCAGCCCCCCTAAAATAGAGGCAAAACTATTGCTAATGGTTTTTTGACTTTTTTTTTTTTTTGGTAAATAATGTTGCAGCAGTAGTGTGATTACACTGTCATTCTGGCTGCAAAACACTGTTAGACCTCAGCCTTGATTTACCGTTGCACTTTGTGCTCCAATTCATAAGAAAGGTATTGTGCAATCTGAAATGTTCCACAAAAGGGAAACGGAATTTTATAAACTGAATGGAACAATTCAATTATAAAGAGCGTGAAGCTAAGCTGGGTTTGTTTACTTGGGAAAAAAAAAAGTATCATCTAAGAAGAGATCTCATTACTATGTGTAAATACTCAAAGTCAGTATTACCTTTCTCAGGGGAACTTAGCATTCTACTGACTAAACTAATAAAGAGAAGCCACCTTTTAACATGAGAGGAACAGATGTTTAATTTTAATTCAAACAATTACAGAAACATTGCAAAACAAAATACATAAAAGTATAATCTTTAGAACATCAATTATCACTGAAACATCAAACGGTAAGGGAAATATCACATTATTTAGATAGTAAAACCCTGGAATACACTACATGATAACATATTACAGGGTTACGGTCCAAATATATGTTTTATACAGCGCTGTTTGAGTATGATTACTCAATCTGTGAGTGGGGACCACTCAAAAGGCCAATCCCTGGAGCAAATAGGGAGGGGGGAGCATAACTGCTGCCCTGAGGGGTTGGCATAGCAACCACATGGATAAAGTTGGTTTGACGGTTGGAAGCAGGGAATTTTGGGAAAATTACCAGACTACTGGTAAATAATGCTGAGGGAGCCTGTCAGAGTCTTTCCTCGCTCACCCTCCACAAGTGTTGTGTTCTGGAATGTTTGTTTTGTGTTGTGGATTTCTTTATTTTTAAATTTTGTCTTAGCTGTGAGTTCCCTTCGCCAGCAAGTTTAATAAATGAATAATGCCCTGATGGGCTCGGGGAGTCGCTGCCTGAATTTGGTTGATGATAAGGACAGGCTGAAGAGGCTCTGGAAGAAGTTTAAAGTGTATCTGTCTGCTGGGTAAATCCAGCAGCTGACAGTATTTGGTTGAGCTGGTTTAAATAAAGCTGTTGCCCTGTCCCACTTAACATGGTGTTGTGTTGCTTATTGGGAAGGCTAGGGTAACGGGACTTGGTGATCGAAGGAGTCAGCAGTCATGTTTCACTAGCAAATGAAGTCTCCAAAAGCAGTGTTCTCCAACCCAGTCCTCATGGACCACCAACAAAAACCCAGGAATGATGCATTTCCCTTTTTATTTTATTTTATTCCAATTGAGATACTGACAAAACCTGGACTGCTGGTGGCCCAGGAGGACTGGGTTGGAGAACACTGTCCTAAAAGATACAAAAAAAAATTAAAAAAACCTCCTCATGGTCACAACTCCAATTAGGTCATGTGGAAGGGCTTCTTGACTGTTACAGCACTAAATTTATAACAGTAGAATAGGAAACACAAAGGACCTACAGGGTTATTCACTAATGTGAGAATTCAACATGAATTTAAAATTTAAGGCCAAAGTAGATGAACTGGAACAGAGTTGAAT